AGGGCGCCGCGCGAGAGGCATTAACCTCAATTAAGCTCATTACGCGGCGTGACCCCCCCACACGTGCCCTCCGGACCCCCAGCGGCCCTGCAGGTGCTCATGAGAGCGCATGCGATGCTGGGCGGGACTTCGTTATTGAGCACCACTGTATACTTGGGGGGGGGGTCCCCCGGAGCCCATACTCCCCACCTCCTACTCCCGCCTCCTCCCTGAGCCCACCAGCTCCCTCTCCCGTCTCTCACCTCCCAAAGCGCCCTCAGTCCCCGATCCCTCCCTCAACCTCCCCCTTCCCTTCCCAGGCACCCTTGCCTGCCTTGCTCACTCCTGCCCCTCGTCCCCCACCTCCACCCCGCACCTCTCAGGGGTGAGCCATGAGAGCAGCTGTATGCATGGCCCGTGGAGGAGTGGGCGCTCCTGGGATGGGGGTGCGAGGGGACACATGGTCCCTGAGTCTGGGCGACGGTACTGGGATGCCCAGGAAACAAGCCTGGGCGCCATGCGGGGTGGGGAGCAGCCGGGGTCCTCAGAGCTCCCCGCACACCGGCTGGGTGACTTTGAGCTCACCCTCCAGCCTCAGTCTACTCATTTGCAAGGGGGTGACTCCCACTGGCGCTGCCCCGAGGCCGTGGGAGGGCTCTGGCCGGCCCTGCGCAGCCCTGAGGGAGGTGGTGGGAGCCAGGTGCCCCCTTGGCCCCGCTCCAGTTGTCCCAGCTGCTGTTTGTTGTTTTATGTTTAAGTTTAATCTATTTTTATTGATTTCAGAGAGGAAGGGAGCAGGAGAGAGATATCAATGATGAGAGAGCACCATGAATCTGCTGCCTCCTGCACCCCCCACACTGGGGACCGAGCCGGCAACCAGGGCCTGCGCCCGGACCGGGATGGAGCCGTGACCTCCCGGTTCCTAGGTCGATGCTCAGCCCTGAGCCACGCGCCAGGCCCACCTTTAAGTGCAAAGGGTGCGACCCGCCTTGGCACTTGCCCTGGCGTCTGACCGGCCCTTTCCGCCCGCGGCCCAGCAGTGCGCGCTTCCCAGCTCCGTACTCGCGCCGCCGACAAACAGAATTCAAACGCCGGCGAGAAAACCTGTGACAGTCCGTCCTGGGGGCTGCGGGGGGCGGGCTCCGACCCGGGGTGTGGCTGGTCCTGTGCCCGCCCCCTCTTCCTCCTCGGGCGGCCCAGACCAGGCGCAGACGTCGGAGGGGCGCGTGGAGAGCGCGAGGGCGGAGGCGCCGGGGCCGTGCCGCTGTCCCTGGTCCTGAACACTCGCCGGGCGAGGCCGCCTGGGCGGGGCCCACGGGTTCGAAGGGCTCTGGCGACGGCAGCCGGCAGCCCGCAGTCCCTCTCTCTTCTCGTGTTCTGAGTGGGGGGCACCCTTTCTCAAGGAATCGGGGGGCCCCAGGGGAGGTGCGTCGCAGAGAAGATGAATGAAGAAGCCAATACGCGGAAAAGGTCATTTTCCGAAAAGCTCGTCGCGGAGCGAGGAGGGTGGGGAGGCGAGAGGAGGGCGCGCGGGAGGCGAGAGGAGGGCGCGCGGGAGCCTCCGGCCCAGTCTCCATCTCCCCCGCCTCGCCCCAGGCGCACAGGCCGGTGGCCCGTTCAGGCGGGACCCAGGCAGGACCCAGGAGTCCATGACCCCAGGCGGCCTGGGGTGGAGTGTGGCCTTGGAGACACAAACATTATACAAAGTGGGGGTTACTCATCCCTGTCCCCTGAAGACTCCTGAACACTGCTGCCCTCCCAGCTCTCCAGGTGCAAGAGAAGGGGGACCCCCACCCCACCACTGTGTACAATGAAGGCTCTGACCTGGTCATCGTTTGACCCCCACCGGAGAGTACAGGGACCTCAGAGGTCACATGGAATGCAAACCCCACCACTGACAGATGAAAATTGAGATGGGCATTCAGAAACACATGGCGAGTCCGTGGCTAGGGTGGTGGGGCTCCCTTCCTGCTCTTGTCTCCCCAAACTTCCCAGAGCCCCAGTGCTGGGCGAGGATCGAAGCCAATAACATGGCTTCCTCTTCTGGAATCCCAGCCCTCACCCACCCCTTTTCCAGGTCACTTCTGAGACCTTTTGCGTCTCCCCCCACCCCACCCCCCCCAGTTTCTGTCCCTGCCCCATGTTGGTTCCTGCCTGGACACCCCTCTCCCAGCCCGCCAACGACCCCATCTGGCTTTGCCTGATGTGCAGCGGGTGGGGGCGCAGCAATGAAGGGGTGTGCTCTGCCCGCTGGGCAGGCAGCGGCATCACATCTCAAGCACTGATTTCACCTGTCAGTGCCCACCTGGGGCCCCGCCAGGGAAGCTGGTGGCTCGGCGATAACCTGATATGGCAGATGGGCCAAGATTGCACAAATGAGGGTCTAATTGACAATCAATTGTGATTAGGAGTGAAAGGACGTCTTTATCGCCCCGGACGTTTCCATTGAAGTTGGGGGGAGGGCCCGGTGTTTCAGGGTATCTGGGAGAGCAGGGGGCCGTACATCTCCCTTGGGCTGTTCCTTAGGGATGGGGGGGGGGGGAGGATGCCGTGATCGCCCTGGGCCTTGTCCACACACAGCGTCCCCCTCCCCACAGGAAAGTGACCCAAGGCCCCTGTGTAGCTCTGAGGTCCCCTCACACTACCCCCCCCCCCCCCCCCCGCAGATTGTGCCTGCTGCAGGGCAGAGGGGAAGGGGGAGGGGAAGGGAGGGAGGACCACAGAGGGGTGTCTCAGCACCTCCAAACTAGGAGGTCACCACGCCTCTTCCAAGTGGCCTGAGCCCTGAGGCCGCGGCCGCCTCTCCTGGGGCAGAGGGAGCGTGTGCCCGTGGAGCATGTGCTGGTTGTACATTCGGATTTATTGTTTCATTGTGTTCATTGCAGATCATGCTTCCTCCGTGCGTTCTGAACACCAGGCCTCCGTGATGCTCGCTGCCTCTGGTGTCCGAGTTGAATGAAGGTTTCACCAAGAGAGCTGATGTCCCTTCCTCACCTGCCAGCATCTAGTGTGTGTCACGGAGTGAGGGCAGCCGGAGCCGGCCTGCGGCGCGGGGGCTGTGTCCGCCCTGTGTGCTCGCGCCGGAGGCTACCTGGCTGCCCACAGGATGGACGCCTGGTGGCTGGAGTTTGAGGGGCGCCTGAGGGATTGTGCTGCGGAGCCGGGTCAGAGGTCCGCACTGGAGCCTGCTCCCGGGCGCCCAGCAGCTGTGCCTCCGGGGGGAGCAGAGTGGCACCTCAGGGACCCGCGGGCGCCCCAGGCCAGCGGGAGCTGCGGGGCAGAGCGGGCCGTGGTGTCTGTGGGTCAGGCCCCCCGGTGGCGCGCCTGGGTGATCATGAATGAATGTGCGCTGGTGTGTGGCGTGCGCTGGCGAAGGAGAGTGAATGTGTGTGTGTGTGAGTGTGAGTGTGTGTGAGTGAGTGTGAGTGTGTGGGGTGGACACAGCTCTATCCCAGAGCCCCTGCAGGAAGGTGGGCGGAAGGAGATAATTACCTCCCTGAGATGAGAGATTAGCACCCTCCTTCCCCCAGAGGTGATTTATAATTTAAAGATAAAGAATAATCAAGTCCTGGCGACGAAGGACACAGTGTTGTGGGTCTGATTAGAATCTCGGATGGACCGGCACGCGGGGGAGGGGCGGGGCTGGGGGAGGGGAGGCCCGGCCTCGGGGTCCCTGAGGCTCAGCCTGTCGGAGCTTGGCCCAAATTACAGCTGATCGGTCCCCCATTATTTCTCCCAACTTTTAATTTCTGCTTCCAAAGGATCATTGCCCGCGGTAATTGCAAAGGACCCGTCCTTGCGCGCGGAGCAGGCTCCGGGGACCGCGGTGTGAGGCGGCGCGCACCCCGCCCGGGCACAGGCGCACTCACACCGTCACACACAGCCGCGCACGCTCCCGGCGCTGCTGCGCGACTCCCCCTGGGCCACGGCCGGCCGGGGTGCCCCTGGGCCGGAGCCGGGGTGGCGGGAGCCCGCGGAGGAGCTGGTGCCCCGAGGGCGGGGCGCAGGGCCTGCGGGGAGCACAAATAACGCCCCGGGCCGAGGGCCCTGCTCCCGGCGCGGCGCGGGCTTGCGTGAGGCCCCGCTTACAGGTTTCTGTGCGGATCCTGCTGTGGCTGCGACTCCCGGGCCTTTGGGGGCGGGGCGGAGACCGGAGGACGGGCCAGCCCCCCTCATTGTCGATTCCGCTTCTGAAGAGCCCCCCCCCCGCCCCCGCCCCGCCCCCCTCCATGGAGTCACCAGGCGGGGCCCTAATTTGACGGCGGGAAAGGGGCGGGCGCGGGGGAGACGGAGGGGCAGAGACCCGGCAGAGGAGACCCCAGACCGGAGCGGAGCCGAGCGGAGCGACGGGAGAGGCGGGGCGGCTCCGGGGGACTCGGCGGAGGCGGCTGAAGGCGCGGCCCAGACCCGAGAGGCCCGCGAGGCCCACTCCCCGCGCCGGCGCCTCGGGAGCCCGCAGAACGCAAGGGCCCGCGCCCGGACCCAGAACAGAGGCCGCGTCCCGCGCGGGGACGTCCCCGCCGCCTCCAAGCTCCCGCCGACCGATCCCGCGATTATTTAAAAGCCGCGGTCTCCTCCCCCTCAGCCCGGGAGGCGGGTGCCGCTGACCGAGGACGGCACTGCAGCTCCCGGCTGCGCGTCTGTCAGTCCGGCCGGGGCTGCTGCGTCCGTGCGTCCCGCGCGAGGCCCGCCTCCCCTGCCCCGGACCGTTCGCAGCCAATTAGGCGCGCGCGCTAACGAGGGCGGTGGCGCCCCGCGGCCGCCGGCGGGCGCACGTGTGTGCGGCGTGTGGGCGCGTGGGCGCCGCCGGTGGGGCCGCCATAAATGTGCGGGCCGGGCGCGGCGGGCGCCTGAGGCGGCGGCGGCGACAGAACCGCAGCACCGGCCGAGCGCGGAGCGCCGCGCGGGAGCGAGCTGAGCCGCTGCCGCCCGCACCGGGCCGTGCAGGGGCGCACCGGCCGCCGGAGATGGGAGCCCAGTAGCCGGCGAGTCCCGAGCGGCCGGATTGGCGGGAGGCCGGCATGAGCGCGAGCGGCCCGGCGGCTCCCGGGGACGGCCCCGCGCTGCCGCCGCCGCCTCCCGGACCAGGCCTGGGGCCCGCACCGCTCGCGCCCGCCGCCGCCGTCGCCCGGGACGCCATGGACGGGCGAGCCGAGCCGCCCGCCTTCTCTCGGTCCGGAGCCCCGCCGCTGGCGGCCAGCGACACGGTGCCCGCGGCGCCCGAGGGAGCCGGGGCCGCCCGCGCCGCCCCGCCGCCGCGCCCCACCTCCTTCTCGGTGCTGGACATCCTGGACCCCAACAAGTTCAACAGCAGAAGACGCCGCTGCGTCCTGCTGGGCCCCGTGCCGCCTGCCGCGTGCGCCTCGGCCCCGTGCGCCCTCGTCCCCGCCGCCCCGGGGCGCCCACCGCGCGCAGAGGAGCTGGGGCACCGCGCCCTCGCCGCCGCCGGAGGAGCGGGAGCCGCCGCCGGAGCGGAGCCGCCTCGTGAGTAGAAGACGCGGTTTTGGGTCGGGGGCGCGGGGCAGGGACCGGCCGTGCTGCGTTAGTGCTCCGAGACGCCCTCGGCGAGCCCAGCGGCCCGGGCCCAGGCTCGGCGGGAAGTTCGCAGCGCGCGGGGCCCGCACCCGCCCGCCCTCAGCCTCCGTCCGACCCGGACTCCGGGGCCCGCGCCGAACCGCGCCTCCGGGTGGCTCTGCCAGGCCAGGGCCAGCTGCGGGTTGCAGGGCGGCCAGGTTCTGCCCCGCGTGTCGCCAGCACCGGAGGGAGTTGGAGGCGAGGACGCGCGCTGGCCGGTGACCTCCCCGCCTGGGCCGCGGCCGCCTGAGGCCTCCTTCCCTCCCCCCACTTTTTTTTTTTTTTTTGACAAATCAGACTAATTGTGACAAAACGCTGGTTATCTCTGGAAAAACAATTAAATCCCTTCGATTACAGTTAAGGGGAAATGTGCTTAGCGGCGGAAAGCGCCGGTAATGGGGCGGCCCGCGCCGGCCGGTCGATATCCCATTACGGCCGCGCGCATATCTCTTTCAAGCACCTTGCAAACTCCCCCCTGAACATCTAAATTATAGGGTCAAAATTCGGATAATTACTCGATTAAAACCTATTACACTTATTAGGGCCGCGATCGACCAAGGCTGCATTCCACCGGCTCCTGATTGCTTTGGGTGCCTCCTCCGCCCAACTTCCTGGCCTGGCTCTCAAGATGGGGAGCACTGGGAGGGGGCGCAGGACGGGGTCCTGAGGCAGGTGGCCAGGCACCTGCGCTGGCCCCTCCCGGTGGGGCTGAGTTGGGAGGACCCTTCCCGCTTTCAGCCTGGCCGGCGGGGTTTCTGGGTGTCCACCCTGGGGAGGCCCAGACTCCAGTCGGTCAGCCCCTTCCTTCTGGGCCCACCCTGTGCAGGGCAGAGGCTGGGTGGAAGGTGCTCAGGGTCCCAGCCGCTGCTGAGGGGGGTGGGCCGGCTTCGGCTTTGCAGGCTCCCAAGCCCTGGCGGTTGCCCTCGAGGATCTGCCACTGAATTTGTGGTTTACTCCCTGGTCTCGGTACCAGCCAGGACCTCGGTGCCCAGCAGTGGCACCCGCCAGGCTTCCCTCTTGTGGGGCGGGAGCCGCACAGACCCACCCCAGGGCAGACACTTTCTTCCTAGTTTCCGGGACCGCGCGGCCTCGATTGGAGGACCCGGCTGGGTTTAAGGTGCCGCCAGGTCCAGATTTCAGCAGAGGAGCGAGGGTGGCCGGTTCCGGGCGGAGGCCAGAGGCAGAGACAGCCCGGGCAGCCGTGCTGGTCCCAGAAGCCCCTCCTGGGGCGGCCCAGCCTCCAGTCCGCACCCGCCCGCGCCTCCTCAAGGCGGGGACTCGGGCGTAATACTCGCCGAAATAAACGAAATGGCCCTTAACCAGTCTGTGCTCCATACAGATGAGTTTAATGAAGTTTGTATCTGCCTGCGGGTCGATCCGAGTTTTCGCTACGCCGGAAGCTCCGAGGGTCCTGCTCAGGCCCAGGCGCGTGGCTGGGGCGCGGGAGGAGCGCGAAGGCGAAGGGAAAGGCAACGAATAAAGGAAGAAGCAACGAAACGGGGGAAGGGGTCGTCGTTGCGGGGCAGCGGGAGTGGCGGCGGGAGGGTGGGCCCGCGGGGAAGCAGGCGCGAGTCTCACTGTGCGTTCTCCTCCCGCCCGTCCCCCCCCCGCCCCCCCCCGCAGACGCCGGCGACCCCTACCAGGCGGACGAGGCCGAGCCCAACGACTACAGCAGCGGCGGCGGCCGCAGCCCGAGCGCGGACAGCGGGGACGAGGCGCCCGACGAGGACGAGGACGGGGACAGGGCGCCCGAAGCAGGGGCGGCGCCCGGAGCGGAGGAGGCCCGAGGAGGCGGCGGCAGCCTCGCGGCCCGCGGGTCGGGCTGCCCGGGCACAGCCGAGGCCGAGACGGCGCCCGGCACCGTGGACGAGGCGGCGGCGCCCGGCCCCCGCGGGAACTCGCCCGGAGCTCCGGGGGCGGCGGCGCAGGGGGGCGCAGGGACAGCCCCGCAGGGCGCGGCGGGGGCCGCCAAGCCCAAGCGCAAGCGCACGGGCTCCGACTCCAAGTCGGGGAAGCCGCGGCGCGCGCGCACCGCCTTCACCTACGAGCAGCTCGTGGCGCTGGAGAACAAGTTCAAGGCGACGCGCTACCTGTCGGTGTGCGAGCGCCTCAACCTGGCGCTGTCGCTGAGCCTCACCGAGACGCAGGTGAAGATCTGGTTCCAGAACCGCCGCACCAAGTGGAAGAAGCAGAACCCGGGCGCCGACACGAGCGCCCCGACCGGCGGCGGCGGGGGACCCGGGCCGGGCGCGGGGCCGGGCGCGGGGCTGCCTGGCGGCCTCAGCCCGCTCAGCCCGTCGCCGCCCATGGGCGCGCCGCTCGCCATGCACGGGCCGGCGGGGTACCCGGCGCACGGCCCCGGCGGCCTGGTGTGCGCCGCGCAGCTGCCCTTCCTGTCGAGCCCGGCCGTGCTCTCGCCCTTCGTGCTGGGCTCGCAGACCTACGGCGCGCCCGCCTTCTACGCGCCGCACCTCTGAGCGCCCCGCCGGCGTGGGGCCCGTTCGCCGACGGGACAGCCGCTGCCCCGGAAGAATTTGAGTTCATGAGGACGCTCGGGCCGGCGGGCCGCGAAGCACTTTGCCGAACTTGGTTCAATCAATAAAGCGCAGAGACTGCGCCGCGTCCCTCCGACTCTCGCGCCGCCGCCCGGTCCCCCTCCCTGCCCTTCGGTGGGAGCTTCGGTGCGACGGGGGCGCCCGCGTGGCGTTCGTTCCATCGGGCTCGGGCCGGCCTCCCACAGCCAAACTCGCCTGGTCCCACCCCGTGCGCTCGGGTTGGGCACAGAGGTTACCCGCGTGCGCGCTGGAGTTCCCGTCCAAGACCCTTCCCTCCGCCCGGACTGGTGGCCCCGGGACGTCCCCTTCCCCTCCCCTGATCCTCGGCAGCCGCGGGGAGCGAGTGGGTGCGCCCAGAGGACGGAACAGGCGGGTCGCAGCCTGTCCCCTGAGCGCCCCCCACCCTGAGCGCCAAGCCGGGGTGGGGCATCTCCTGCTGGGCACGTCCGGCCGCTGCCCGCACGGAGGGAGCTGGGGCTCCGGGAGTGGAGGCACCTGCCGGGAGCCCCTCCCCAGCCCGACTCCACGTCCCCGGGAGGAGCCCAGTGCGTCCGCGTGGCCACCAGCGACCCGAGGGGCCTCTGAGCGACGTCCCCACGCGAGACCCGAAGCCCTAGGCCCAGTGCTCCGGGGTCAGAGACGCTCTTGGCGGTGAGGGTCCCTGAGACAGCACCTGCCGGATTCGGAGGGGATGGTGGGGCCGCAGCCACCAGTCTGGCGGCCTGAGCCTCGCACGCGGAGGGATCCTGCCGCGCTGGGCCCGAGGGTCTAACGGGCACCCGGAGCTGGTCGGCGGCGCCACCGCGGCTGCAGGGCCGGGCTGCGGCCCAGAGCATGATCCCTCTGCAGGGGCGGCCACCCCACCCCGCCCTGACAGGAGTGGGAGAGCGCGGCCTCCCCACCACCAGCTGGCACCCCCACCGCCTGGCCACCGGCCGCCCTTCCCCTCTGCCCCCCCCACACCACCCCTCTCCTCCAGGCCACTCCCTCCTCTGCTCTCACTGCGGCGGGTGTGTGTGTGGGGAGCGGGAGGGGCAGGGAGGGGGGTCTGAGCTCCTAGGCCTGACCCTCCTCGCAGGCTCAGCACCACCCAACCCGTGGCTACAGGAGGGGGCGCAGGACATCCCTGACCTCGCGCGGGGAGACCTGGGTCTCCAGGGGTAGGCAGCTGACTGAGGAGGCCCAGAGGCTTCAGAAGTTTCCAGAAGGCCCTCGGCCTCATAAATCACCAGCGTCCCTGCACACTTAGCCTGAGGGAGGCTGGCGGAGAGGCCAGGATAGGTGCGCCCCCAGGACCCAGGAGGAGCCCCTGCCTCCCAGTCTCCAGTGCGGAGCTCAGCGGCTTCTCAGACCAGGTGCAGGCGCACGGGGACCCCAGCCCAGCTCTGGGGGCTCAGACCTCAGCTGCCAGCAGGGCCCACCTCTCCCCTGTACCTGCGGCCAACCGAGAAGCAGCAGGGAGAGAAGGTGTTCTGGACACAGCAGCTCACCAGCGCTGGCCTCTCCCGCTCCCCCGCACCCTCAGCTCCCCGCACCCTCAGCTCCCCGCACCCTCAGCTCCCCTGCACCCTCAGCTCCCCGCACCCTCAGCTCCCCCGCACCCTCCCGCTACCCCGCACCCTCAGCTCCCCGCACCCTCAGCTCCCCCGAACCCTCAGCTCCCCCGCACCCTCAGCTCCCCGCACCCTCAGCTCCCCCGCACCCTCCCGCTCCCCTGCACCCTCCCGCTCCCCTGCACCCTCAGCTCCCTGCACCCTCAGCTCCCCTGAACCGGCTGCACCCGCACACTCCCTGCACCCTCATGCTGCTGCTGCTGACCTTCCAAGGTCACCCAGACCCAGCAGCCACCCCGCCTGGAGCAGGGTTCAGGGCGGCTTGGAGGCCATGAAGCTAGGGATGCGATGCCCCTCACCCTCCCCCCACCATATGCCCTATCCCCCCCCCCTCCCCCATGGGGCCCTGAGCAGGCCCTGCTGTGGCTTGGGGCCCCACAGTCCCTCTAGGGCACACCTGGCATGTGTCAGGCCCTTGCAGGGCAGCCTGTGGGCTCTAGCTATGGTTATGACATGGAGGGCACTGAGGCCTGGAAGGTGGTGGGCGTGCTGGGGACACCCTCTCCCTCCTGGGGGAGCCCAGCTGAGACCTGGCTCTGGCCCAGCTCCCCCACTCTCTCCAGTGGGGCGGTGCTGGGCGCTGGCCTCTCCGAAGCTGCCCCACCCCTTCTGCTCCCACTGGGCCTGGGCCCCCTGCCTGCCCAGCTCCCTGGGGTCCTGTGCCTGACTCGGGGCCCAGCTCCCCAGGGCCTGGGCTGGATGCAGAGGCGAGCGGTGGCCTTGCTGTCCCCTTACCCCTGACCCCCTTCCCCATGGTTCCACTTTGGTGTCAGTGTCTTGGGGGCTGTCATCACCCAGGACCTGAGTGTCCTGGCCCAGGCAGCATCCTCCGTCCACAATCCCAAAATTGTACCCATGTAGTGTCCACAACTAACCACCAGGTGGAAGGAGCCTTGCAAATAGCAAGGCAGGACCCCTGCCCGCTGCCCTGGCCACCCTGGGCTCCCTCCGCCCGCCCCGCCCACAGCCCACTGCCCGCTCTGAGGGTGGTCCCTTGCTGTGTTAGGACTGGCTTTGGCTGCAGGAAGGAAAACATCGACTGGAACAGCCTTGAAAGGAGGTCATCGTCTCTCCTGTGGGGTGACGCTGGTTGGGGTGGCCCTGGACAAGGACACCCTCACAGAGTCCTCGGACCCGGCTCTGCCCAGCTGTCTCCTGCGTGGTCCCCGCTGGGCCCTCATCCTCCGTCAGGTCCCCTCCACTCAGCAGACAGGAAGGGAGAAGGGCCATGGCCTTTCCCGTTAAACAGCCCAGGTAACAGCTGCTCGCAGCTCCCTGGCCAGAGCAGCTCCCTGGCCAGAGCAGCTCCTTGGCCAGAGCTCGGTCACATGGCCATTCCTGGCCCGAGGCGGCTGGGGAAGTGTTATTCCCAGTCAGAGGGATGGGCAGGGGCTGCTAGCAGACCTGCCACCCGCACAGCTGGCTTAACCAGTTTTGTCCTGCCCCCTTCCCCGCTGGCATGGAGGGGACTCTGGGCCCTGTCCAGCCACGGCCACACCTCAGTGGGACAGTCACCTGGCCTGCAGCACCCACCCCTCTCCTGCCCCCACGTGCCTCTGTCCTCGTCTCCAAACCTGCCCTCAGCTCCCCTGCTCGGCCCCTCAGAGCCACCACCAAGGACTGTGGGCACTGCCCTCTGCACTGGCTTCTCCTGGCGCCCATCACCCCTCCCTCTCGGGGCTCCTGTGGCTCCTGGGCCCCTCCTGCCCCACCCGCTGTCCCCGGTCCAGTCAGGCCCAGGTCCGGAGGCCAGGTTCCCTCTTCCCCATCTGGGACCACAGCCTCACCCGGGCCCCGCCCACGTCACAGGGAACCCTGGCGCCCTGTGCACCCTCGCCCTCCTCACTCCCCGTGGGCCCACCCAGGCCCAGCGCAGCAGGGCTGTCAGGCTGCCCCCATCCCTGCCCACTTCTCACAGGCCCCTTGCTCCTGGCCAGCGGGCCTGGAGTGTCACGTCCACCACCCCAGGGTGCAGCCAGGGCCCCTAGGTCTCCGTCCTGGGCCACTTGCAGTTCACGTGCCACCAAGAAAAGCCACTCAGCTGGGAGGGGCCTTCCCAGCCCATGGGGACCAGGGAGGCTCCTGGAGGGCAGTGCTCTCGGGGAGGGTGCCGGGTGGGCAGCAGGGAGCGAGGGGCTGGGGGCTGGACAAGCAGGTCGCTCAGGGATGCAGGGAGTGTCCCGAGGGGAGACACAGGGCTGAGGCGCACAGGTCCTGGGGGGCCTCATCCATCCCGGGCCCCACCCCCAAGCATCCTGGGATTGGCAGCTGCTCCAGGACACTGCCCCTCCCCCCCACAGTCCTATGCAATGGCCCCTGTGCCCAGGCGGTAGGGCCGGAGGGGAGGAGCTGCTGGGACCTCCGTGCCCTCCCAGCTGTGGAGCCCTCTCCTACAGGTGGGCTCATGCCCCCCCCCCCTCTCTGACTCACAGGGACCCAAGCCACACTGACAGGCAGAGGAGGGGTGCAGCCTCCTCCCCCTCACCTGGGGCCTGAGGGAAGTGGCTCCCCAGCGCCCAGTCACTGGGCACCCTGGACTCCGTGGTGGAACCTGCACCGGGCCTGCCGGCCGCCAAGGCCAGCCACCCCCGCCCTCCACGGGCCCCTCTGGCCAGAGACATGTGGAAAGACCCACAGGTTTGTCTTTTGACACAGGAGCGGGTGACAGTGCTCCTGATCCAACGCCAGGGAGAGCCAGGGAGACGCCCTGACTCCACCTCCAGATGCAGGGAGGTGGCAGGTGTGGGACACAGGCAGGCAGGGAGGGGACAGGGCGGAGCAAGTTCAGAAGCAGCACCTCCTCAGAGGGACCGTCTGCAGGGCATGGGCCCGTTAGTAAGTGGAGGGGACCAGCCACTGCAGTCAGGGTTCCCGGGTCACAGTGCATAGTACACCGAAGGGATGCAGAGCAGCGACTTAAATGTAAGAGGAAACCCACCGTGTACAGAAGAACCGTGGCAGTGTTTTTACATAAACGCTGCTTGGGGAAAACAGCCCTCAGGAGCCTTTCGCAAAATCAGAAGACAAATGGAGGAAATATTTGCAATGTACAACGTAGGGCTCATTTTCTTAATGAATAAAGAGCTCCTACAATTTAATAAGTAAACAAGCCAACAGAAAAAGAGCAAGGGCCAGGACACAATTTATAGAAAAGGAAAACAAGTCTCACTTCTGAGACAGATATCCAACTCCGAGACTGCACGTTGCCTGGCGAAGATCGACGACTGCCATGAATACGCCGAGGGCGTGGGGGTCAGACCTGGGGTCCGACGTCAGGAACACGCCGAGGGCGTGGGGGTCAGACCTGGGGTCCGACGTCAGGAACACGCCGAGGACGTGGTCATGGTGGACTGACACCACTTCTGAGAGCCACACTGCAGTCTCACCACATGGTACTTGCCCCACCGCCCTGACCAGCACCCCCCTCCCAGGAGTGAAGCCCAGGAAGCATTCACGTGTGAGAAGACGCGCGTGTGAGAAGACACGCGTGCATGCACACCTGCCGCAGGACTGCTGGCCACAGCAAGGGGGCAGAGCCCTTGCCAACACTGAACCTCCACGCACACCACGGCCGTCCGCACGCGGAGGCCACGCGGGCACGGGGCAGCCCCTCCCACGGCAGAGGAAGGGCCCGTGAGCCACAGAGAAACCGGACAAACTTTTCCAAAACTCTGGGAATTAACACAGACTCAGAACAATCCAAGGAGTGTTCATCCGAGAAAACAGCTGGGCCTGAGTCGGGCTGCTCTGTGGCTTCAGTGTGCGCTGCTCCCACTGCCCCTCAGCTCCGGGCCCGGGAGGGGGAGCCTTGTCCTCAGGGAATGGCCACTAGATGACCGCCCAGCGGCTCCCTGGAGATCGCACTTGCAGGGCCGGCTCGCCTCTGCCTGAGTGCTCGGTGCGGGTTGTTTAATGATGCAGCTGCTGGCGGGAGACCAGCTGGGCCAACCAGAGGCTGACCAAGACCCCAGGCCCTCACCTCTGACTGACCTTGAAGCTCTGCACAGGCGGGAGGGGAGGCAAGGCAGCGCTGGCACTGCCTGGCGGAGTGCTGAAGGTCCATCATCAGCTGGGCAGTACACTGACCCAGCAGAGACCTCACGGCCAAGCACAACAGAGAACACAGACTTTACAGAACTCATCAGACACCGAGCAGCCTGACTCCCAGGCGGCTACGTCATATTAATTAAAATGTTCGATTTTCAATCACAAGACAATTGTGAGACACACAGAGACAGGAAGTGTGGCCCGCACACAGGCCAACCAGGAGTCCACAGAAACCGCTCTGGCTCCGCCCAGCTGGTGAACTTCCTGGACAAAGGCTTCAACGCAACCACTCAAATATGTTTAAAGAACTAAAGGGAACCACAGCTCAAGAATGAGAGTGAGAGTGACGTTTCACCAGAGAGAACATCAGGAAAGAGGAAATCGCAGGCGAGAACAAGCAGAAGTGCTGGCGCTGAGAAGTACGAGGCCTCTTCCAGCGAAACCGAGAGTCACCAGCAGGCCCATCGCACCTTCACTGGCAGGAGCAGGAGCCTGGACCTGAAGAGAAGCCACCAGGTCCAGCCTGAGGGACAGAAAAAAGGGTGAAGAACAAACAGGCCTCAGAAACGTCATCGGCCAAACAGTCGCGCACACAATGGCAGCCGAGGATGAGACGGGGCGGGACTCCCCCACAAAGTAACGGTCAAACCTTCCAAATTCCACATCAAGAAGCTCAACAACTTCCAAGTAGGACACACACGATCCACCCGGTGCCTCCCAGGGACACCGCCAACGACAGGCGGCTGGGAAGCAGCAGGAGACCCTCACGTGCCAAAGGCGCCGCGTGTCAGTGGCAGCGGCTTCTCGTCAGGTCCATGAGGCCGGACGGCGATGGGGGGCGGGTTCCCAGTGTCAGAAGACTGTTAGCGAATTCTGCTCCCAGCAAAGCTTGTCTTCATAATGAAGGAGGAGGAACGAAGGCATTCCCAGACAGACACGGAGAGAACTCACTGTTAGATCTTCCTTCAAGAAATAAAAAGGGCATCTCTGAGGCCCAAGTGAGAAAACACTAGACTCAACCCCACCAGGAGAAGAGCGCTGACAAAGGCAACCACAGAGCCACAGAGAAGACGGCATGATTGCACGTTTGTTCCTGAACCTTGCCTTCCCTCTGATGTAAGCCAGCTGCACAAAGCAGGGCCCTGTGCGTGTTCACGACACCACTCACGGGCCACACAGCAGCCTAAAAGCCTGCTCGACTTGGTCAAGCATTGCATTCCCTCGCCCCTATTGCCAGGGCAGGGCCAGACCAAATACTTTCTTCCGACCCTACAGAAATAAAGCTTATAAACGAATGCTATGAACAACTATATGTCAGCAAATTGTAGCAACCTAGATGAAATTCCTACAAACTACTGAAGCTGACTCAGGAGGGAATGGGAAATCAAACCGATCTATAAAACACTGAATTAGTATAAGACAAGTGAAAACTTCCCATCTGTACAAAAGTCACATGAAAAGATGCTCAAGCCTGGCTGGTGTGGCTCAGTGGTTAAGCGCCAACCTATGAACCAGGAGGTCACGGTTTGATTCCCGGTCAGGGCACATGCCCGGGTTTCGGACTCGATCCCCAGTGTGGGGCGTGCAGGAGGCAGCCGGTGATTCTCTCATCATTGATGTTTCTCTCCCTCTCTGGAATCAATAAAATAGTATTTTTTTTTTAAATGCTCAATATCACCAGTCACTAGGAAAATGCAAACCAAAACTCACCCACGAGGATGGCTGTGGTTAAAGACAGATGCTAACAAGTGTCAGAGGATGTGGAGGAGTCAGAACCCTCACAGCTGGGGAGACGTACAAGGTGCAGCCGCAGGGAAAGCAGGTCAGCAGTGCCACAGAAGGCTAAACAGTCGCCCTGTGAGCCAGCAATTCCGCTCCTAGTTACATGCCCACGAGAAGTGAAAACGTGTCCACACAACACACAGATGTTCCCAGCAGCATTATTCCCAAGTCAAAATGTGCCAATATCCACGTTGCTAGCGAGTGGATAAACAAAGGCACCTCCAAACGCTGGAGCAAGCGGGCAGTAAAGGGGAGCGACTTTCTGGCATTGGCTGGACACGGGAGAACCTCGGACAGCCACGCTGTCCTGAGCCAGACAGGCCATCAGGGCTCCATTCCATGCAGGGTCCAGAACAGGGAAATTCAGACAGGCAGTAGCTCCGAGGGGCCTGGACTGGAGGTGGGGAGTGGCCACTCCTGGGGACCGGCTGCCTTTCAGGGGGATGAAGTTCTGCAACTACGTGGTGGGGGTGGGGGGACGGTTCAGCACTGGAAGCACGTGGTGCCACTGAACGCATGCCTTAGAGAGAGTTACGGCACGCGAGCTGTAACTCAACTAGGTCGTGTTTGAAACACACACAGTGGGTTCATGGAGCCAGCACCAAGGCAGGGGGAACTGGACCCTCACTGTGCGACGGGCGGGTGCCCGCTTCCCTTTGTGTTTGCATTAAAACAGCATTTACACAAGTGGGGCTTTTCCTAGAGTCCCTGAGCGGATGACCCCAGCAGAGGGCTGGGAGGTGGCTGGGGTGGCCACACGCACATTCCCACACTGAGAAGTGAAGGAGAAATGAAGACATTCCCAGACAAGTGCACGTGGAGAGAATTCATGGCCAGACCTTCCCCCCTGAGCACACCATGAAGTGCGCGGGCCCTGCCAAATGCCCGCTGGAGACACGGCTGCCCGAGGTGAGCCCTGTGCGCCCAGCGCCTCTTAGAAAGGCCCGACCCATAACCCAGATGGTGGTGGCCCCCATGGCCACGGCGCGTCCACACCCTCAGCATTTTAATCAGAAGATGCACCATTTCCTCACATTGCACACAATCATGGAGACGGAGGCCACTGCCCAGACCTGTCCGCTCTCCCCTCCGGGGCCCTGGCAGAGGGAGAGGAGCTGAGAGCAGAGGGGGCCACAGCACAGGGGCCCCTAACTCAGCGCGTAGTTAAACTGGTTTGCAAACTTCTCGTGCTTCTTGCGGTCCATCTGGTTCATGGCTGTGACCACCCTCTGCACGGCCGCCCTGCAGGGAGAGCAAAGCGAGATGTGAGCAGGGAGCCCGGCTGGTTCCTGACCAGGGCCCGGCTGCAATGGGGTTGGGTCCGGAGGCGGACGCGGCCCTCGGACCTCTCTCAGACTGCAGGCTGGTGAGTGACACAGCGCGGAAACGGCCGGCGCTGGAGCCCAGGAGGAAGCCCCGAGGCCGCGAAGCGGCGACTGCTGGGCCCTGTTCCAGGGGCTCGGTCACCCAGGTCTCCTCAGGGCCCCCCGTCACACAGCTGCTGCGAGCAGCCCAAGGATGCAGCGAGGACACGGCTCCGGGTCAGCACCCAGGGTGCCCTTTACCCCTGGCTGATCCACAGGAAACCAGCCTCGTGCCTGGAGCCTGGGGCCTCGCCCGCATCTGGACATGGAAGGACACAAGCCAGCAGTGAGAAGCCCGTGGGGCTCCAGGTGGGCACCCAGGGAGCTGCCCTGCTGCCCAGCCCCACCTGGACCGGGGAGACAGCACAGCCAGCCAGGAGGGCAGGGGCATCCCCTGCCCCGTACGCTCAGCTGAGAGCCATCAAGGGCGTAACTCTGAGGAGGGCGGCCCTGCCTCATGGGGTTTCCTCAACAGAAGCCGCAAACACTCTCTGGCCACACCTTGAGCTGGTGGGAGCCTCTGACCACAGCAGCGGGCGGGGCGGTGGGCTGCTGGGCTGGCAGCCTTTCTACGAGGGCCCTGCCCTGACCCCTGACCCCTGACCCCAAGCTGCTGTGAGAGCAGCACGTGGAGTGACCACCGTCCTGGTGGCACCGGCTGAGCTCTGCTGGGGCTGAGCCCATGCGATGACCGTTCCGCCCGACTTGGAGGGGACTGGCCTCCCTGAAGCCATCGGGTGGACACCCCTGAGCACTGACCACGAGGGCCCAGGCCAGTGCCCAGCCCTCCGGGTCGGCCGGGCAAGGGAAGACCCAGGCTGGCTCCGCGCCAGCAGCCCTGCTTGGGAAGAGGCTCACTGTGACCACGGGGCAACCGCTCCAGGCCCCTCCCTGGCTGGGAGCCCCCGTCTGCCAGGGCCCAGGGGCCACAGGAAGAGATGCACAGCAGAGGGGGTGCCACGGGCCTCAGGGGACGGCTGGGAGCTTGGTCAACTGCCCTCTGGGGCTGATGAGGGGCTCTTACTTAGCGAAGACCTTCTTGGCGATGCGTGTGCGGGCGGTGTCTGCCTGCTGCTTCAGGTCGGTGAGGCCGGGGTGCCTCCTCTTCTTGCCTTTGCCTCTCCTGCCAGCCCTGGACGAGCCAAGGTCCACCCCTGTAGCCACCTCCACATCCCTCATGAACTCGGGGTCCTGCCAGTCTGCAAACAGACCCGAGACTTCAGAAAACACCTGGCACCACCCGCGTGCCCTCCCCGATCGCCCAGGACCGAGGGGCAGGGAGGCCGCTGGCCATTCCCTAGGGCTGGGGCCAAGGCAGAGCTCCTCCCACTGCCTGCGCCCTAGGACGCAGCACCCGCACCACCAGCCAGGAGAGCTGGGCTGGGGGCAGTGCCTCTCACAGCTGCTCCTGCCGTCCAGGCTGGACTGTCCCCCCAGGCCCCCATCACGGCCTCTCGACCTGCCTGCTGGCCGAGGGCACGCACAGCAGGGGGCCCTGGCGAGGGGGCAGGGAGGGCTGGGCTTTCTTTGTGTTGGTCCAAAGGTGACTTGGCCACAGGTCTCAGCAGTGAGGGTGTGTGTTCACCCGGGGCCCTGTTCCTCCTGCACGCGCCCTTCACAGCCAGGCCTGGGGGCGGCAGTGGCCACAGGTGGCACCAGGCCCGGCCGTGTGCTCATGTGCAGGGCTGCTGAGGGCTCTGTCTAAGGGGGCTCTGGCCTGGGGCAGGGGCAGGGGCAGGCATGGGGGTCAGAGACCAAGGTGCCCACTCTGGCAGCCAGGGCCTGGTGCTCTGAAAGGCCACAAGGGGCCCATGAGACATGGTGTGGGTCCAGCCAGCAGCTCAGAGGGCCACACAGGTCAGGAGTCGCAGCACAGCACCCTGGCTCGGCCAGACAGACCCGCAGGGGGTGCTGGGCCCCCCACCTCGCGAACGGGAACCTGGGGGGCGGGCTGTGAGCAGAGCACGCAGGGCACAGGGAAGCCGTGCCACAGACAGACAGATGGCGAGGCCTCCCCAAGTTGATTTTTTGAAGTGAAGGAAAACGGGCTGCAGAGCTCAGATACAGAGACGATTAATCCAAGATTAAGGAAAACTGTCTAAACAGTTTATCTCCCAGTAATAAGAAGGCGTCACAGTTTAGGAGCCCAGTGAATAGAGCGATTGTTTAAACACAACGGAAAACGCAGCGCCCGCGCGAGATGGAATGAGCATCTCGGGGAAATGAAGGAGCAATTTAAAGCCCCTGGAGAAAATCAATGCAGCCGGGCGCGCCTCCTGCGACGGCTGAGCCTGCATTGTCACCGGGGAGGGCCCGGGAAGAAAACTGCCCCGCGTGCGGGAGGCGGGATCGATACCGCAGTTAGCGCAGAGACGCTATTTCACATCTGACTGGCCAGCCCGGCCGCGGCCCACACCTGCTGTTAACAAGTCACCGCGGCCGGGAACAGACACTCCTCAGGGCGACACAAAAACAGGCTCTCAATTTGCTCCTGAGTGCGCACCTCCAGGGAGGCTGGCCTGCGGGTTAGCAGGTCCAACCCTCCTGCCCGTCGGGCCAGGGCCAGGCGCCGGCCGGGCATCAGGCTAAATCTAATCTCCGTCTCTCAGGACAAAGGAAACACTCCACTAATGACAAACACCGGCTGGGACCCCACACGCTGGCCAGCACCCCCCAGACTCAGCTGCCTCCCACCTTCCTCGGGGGTCTGGGGAAAGGACACCCGGTGGCCAGGGCCTCAAGACTCCAGTCCACTGAGCGCCCACCTGCTGCCCAGCCGGTGACGGCACTGCCCGTCACCTCGCGGCCCTGCTGCGTGGCATGTGCCCCAGCACCACGCTGACACGCGCACCACGGCGAGACAGCTCCCTACGCTGTCCTGAGCATGACGATGAGGGGCTGCAGCCCACTGGCCAGCTCATCTGAAACTGGCCCTCTGCCAGAAGATGGGGAGCCTGGCGAGGGCCCCACGGAGCATCTGGAGACATAGCGCCCCTCGCCTCTGCCCAGACACACACACACACACACACAAGACACAAGTGCAGCACACGAACACATGGGTGTACATACCACACACGGCACGCGCGCACACACTATACATGCACAGAAACCACACACACGTACGTGCACACACACCGCACATGCTAGGCACAGGGATGGGGCTTGGCGAGAGCCAGACCGCAGGTATGAGGGCAGAATGAGCTGCTTCCTCTAAGCAGCATGGGCTCAGCCCATCAGCTTTTCTTGCCTCAATTCCCTCATGTGCCTGCAAAGCCTGATTCAGACCCCAGAGCCCCACAAGCCAGTGGTGACAGGGGCTTCGGGAGTGGGTGTGCCCACTCTCCCACAGGAGTGCGCGACACCCACAGGCTGTGTGGACCCAGGGGCCCAGCTGGAGAGGCAGGGTCCACACACAGATACACAGAGTCGCCCCGGTGGCTGCTGGGACCCACTGTCCCCCAACAGGGCCCCCCCCCACCAGGTGCCCACCTGAGCGCCCGGCCTGCCTCTGCAGCTGCTGCCTCTGCTCCCGGGCCCTGTCCTCCGGGTGCAGGGGCCGCCCCGTGTCGTCTCTGGGGATGATCTTGCCATGGAACGGGCACTGGGGCAAAGCACAGTGGTCGTCATCCTCTGCCTCTCACCACCCACCCTCACCCCTTGAAGGAAGGCAGGCGCCAGGGAGCTGCCGTCACGGAAAAGGGTGAAGGGGGCGCCTGGTGCCTGAGTCAGGCCCCGCGGAGCAGGTGGCCCAGGCACAGCCCAGGGTCGAGTGGTAGCTGCAGCCAGCACAGGCCCCCAGGCCCCCACGGCCACGCTCACCTTCAGCCGGTCCTGGCGCTCACACAGCCGGCCGTCGGGCCTGGGGGCCCGGCACCGGTGCTGCACGGGCTCGAAGCTCCCCGCGAAGGTGATGTGGCGGCTCCGCAGCACCTCTGAGACCTCGGCGCTGTCCACCTCCTCATCCACCTCGCTGGGCTTCCAGAAGCGGTGCTGAGACTCCACCCTGCAGGCGGGCCCGCCTGTGAGAGCCTCGCAGGCTTGCGCCCCAGTGGGGCTCCAGAGGGCAGAGCCGTGCCCCCCGGTCTGCGGGGCCGGAGCACAGGCCAGCACAGCAAGGGGCTTCCCACCCTCCTCAGGGCCCCAGGCCCAGCCACTCAGAGCCCAAGGAGGCCAGAGGGCGAGGGCAGTGGGACGAGACCACGGTGACAAGGGCTGGAGGAGCCTGAACAAGGGGAGTGCCCTGGGCCCTGGCACCCGATGCCTGTCTGCGGGTGGCGGTGGGAGCAGGGCAGGCCCCAGACCAGACGCGCCTGCACTCACTTGAGGACCTTCCCGGCCGCAGGCTGCTCCTGGCCCCAGTTGCACAGGTCCACCCCGAAGGGCACCACGGGCGCCCGGGCCCGCTCTGCCGCCAGCCTCCCGGCTTCCTCCGGTGCCAGCGGCGCCCTGCAGGGGCCACAGAACAGCAGGGCGCTCCGACCGTGCACACCTAGGCCGCCACAGCCACCGCCTCTCCCTCTCCCTCCCTGAGCACAGGCCGGTCGGCTCCAGGCACCACTGAGGCTGTGAGGAGCCCGGCTCCCACTGCTCAGGGAGCGGCACGGGGAGCTGGCCTTGGATCTGGGGCCCTCGCCCTGGGCTGGGTGCCCCCCACCCGCTTCTGCCCCACCCCCACCCCCATAGGCACAGGTGCTGGCAGGTGTGCCCTGGCCAGGTGCACACCTGGGGCTGCCATCAAGGGGCTCGAGGCCGTGCCTTGGGCAGAGGCGGGGTGACCGGGAGTCACCTGGGGCTCGGGCACGGGACTGGGGGCAAGTGGCCGCGGAGCCGGTGGAGCTGGGCGGCAGCACAGGTGGGGTCGCTCGCCTCCTCGTCCGTCCTCCTCCTCTTCCTCGCCAGCAAGCCCTGCGCAGCCAGGTCTTTCTCTGACCCTGAAACACATTCCTGCTCCTGGTCACCGTCCTGAGCAGACCCCTGCACTGTGCCCCCAGCCCAGGAGGAAAGGTGTGACCCAGGGTTAGCAGGCGGCCTGCAGGTCAGGGCACCAAACCCTCCAGCAGCCATGGCTGCAGCCCACGGAGGGCCGGCCCTGCCACCAGCCAGCTGAAGCTCCGATGCTGGCACCTGCCGGCGTCCCCACAGAACACTGCCACCGATGGGCCCACACGCCCAGCATCCACCCCCACGTTCCTGGGGCAGACAAGGGCAGCGTCTCAGGCACCACGGAAGCCCACTGCCCTCCCTAGACCAGCTGGCCAGCCTGTGCTGCCCAGTACCCACCTGTCTGTACATCCCACCCGCGGGGGACTGACTGCAGCATGGGCGCCCAGCTGTGCCCAGGAGCCAGGTTACCATCTTGTGCGGGGGATGTACAGACATTGATAAACTGCAGAAGCAAGCAGTGGACAGCAGATATAAGTATGAATCTTTAATTATTAGGGATGACCATCAGAATGAATGTTTGGGGGCTCACCTGAGGATATTCCAGTGAGTTTAGATAGAGAGGAAAGGAGAGAGAGAAACACGGAGAGGGGAACATTGATCAGTTGCCGGCCACATGCAGAGGGGAGCGGGGGTGAGCAGCTGCCAGGGGTGCATATGGCCCACCGCCTATCACAGAAGATGTCTGCCCGCCCTGCCCCAGGCACCCTGGAGCTCTGCCGTCTGCCCCATTCTTGGGGTCCCATGCTGAGAGGGGGACACAGGACAGAGCCCCTTGGAGTGACTGTGTCCACCTCTGGCCACCTGAGCATGAGCTTTGAGGCCCAGGCCCCACTGACGAAGGCGCCCACATGCCCACTTGGGAGGCTGATGGCACGCCATTAGGAACACACGGTGGCCTGCACAAGCATGTGTGCACACGTGCACGCGCACGGAGAGGCTGGTAATGACACTGGGGTTTGGATGGATACAGTCACAGCCCAAGATCAATATGAGAATTCCTGAGTTACAAGAATGAAATATATTTTTCATTGATTTGTTGTTTTAAACCATTAAAAAGATGGGTAAGCGTGTTAGAGCGGGGTAAATACTCGGGGCACTAAAAAAACACCGCCATCTCACACTGCGGTAGAAAATCAATCTCGCCGACTTTCCAAGTGCAGCCGGAGAGCAGGCGCACGGGCGGCACGCGGCTTTCAGGGGAACTTTCAGGGGAGGCTGGAAGGGAGGGCCCGCGGCCCCAGCACCGCCCCGGTGTCAGACTCGGTGCAGGGCTTGGTGCAGTCTCACTCCCACGGTTGCTTTAGGAAGAATCATGGAAATGCCCAAATCTCCTTTTTTGTTTAAATTGATGAGTGGCACCATCCGCCCGGAGCATTAAGGCAGGCGGGGCGGACGGATCAATCCAGGAGAGGAGGCAAGGCGGCCCACAGCCAGCCTCCGCCTGACACTATTGATTTTGCCCAGTTCAGCTGGCCTTGTAATTAAAATGTAAATTTGAGAAAGAGATTGCGTCTTGACAGACGCAGGATTAAGGGGAAGATAAAAGCCCCTCCATGAAAACTCCGAGGAAATGCGAGCTCTGTGTCCGGGGCTGGCTCCCACGGACCAGGAACAGGCCGCAGGCCCCGCGCTCCATGGAGAGCAAGGCCGGGTGCAGACCGCGGGGGGCTGACTGCAGCCTGCCGGGGCACCGCGCCAAGCGCACCTCAGGACCGTGGCCCATCAGCGGCCCAGATCCCACCCCCGAGGCCCCATGCAACGCCCCTCCGCCACTCACCGTCCTCGGGCCACAGGTGTTCAGGGACACAGGCCTCGTACCCCTCCTTCTCCGGGACCTCCACAAAGTCGCCATCATCCTCGTCCTCGTCCTCGTCCTCGTCTCCCAGGGCCGCCGTCTGTGGGACACCCCAAGGCTGAGTGGGAGGAGCAGGCAGAGGTGGAGGTGCCGGGGCCCCAGCTGGGGTCAGCGTTGTGGCTGTACTCACTGACCTGTCTCCAAGCCCACCTGCTCGCTCCTAAAACCACCAGCTCTGTGCACCCCCCTCAAACCCCAACACGAACCTGCAGGCACCTCAGAGCACCCCAGAGCAGGTCTCACCCTAAAAGGCAAGGCCCAGGGAGGTGACAGCCCAGCTCGGCTCGGCCCGGCCACGGCACCACGCCCTGTTCTGGGCCAGCTCCTCACTGGGGCCTCGGGTGCTGCTGTGACCACAGAACTTCTGGAACATTCTGTCCTTAACAATGATGCTAAAAGCCACCACAGGAAGTTTCCTTTGGACGCGAGGCCCCGCCCAGGTCCGTGTGATGGGTCCTCGCCCTCCCGGCTCAGTGGGAGTGGCAGGCCCTGTGCACGAAGGGCGGAGCTCCCACACGGGGCGACCAGGGCCACGCACACGCCAATCAATGTGCAGGGCCACGCACACTGGGGGCAGGCGTCCTGGCCAGAACCTTATGAAGCCCAGGACGGCTCAGCCCCCCATCCCAGGGGAGCCACGCCCCTCTGAGAGGGAGAGGGCCACAGCAAGAGGCACCCAGAAACCCCGCCCATGGCCCCCACTGTGCCTTCAGGCCAGGCCCCCTAAGAAAAGGCGGCAGGAAGGCAGACCGACCCTGTCCCATGAGCACCAGCGACGGGCTGGTCAGGCTCAGAGGCAAACGCAGGTACAGGGCCATCTGACACAGGCCCCGACACAACACTGGCCACAGGGGGCAGCGCGCGTGGCCCCACGGCCAAGTCCAGGCCGAGGCACCCTGGGCTGCAGACGGTACCTGGTTCCGCAGCCCAGAGGCATAATCAGATGCAAATGCACTTGGTTTGGGTTCCGGCAGCCCTGCCTCGGAGTGCGGAGACATCCATCACTGGAAACGGCAATTTCTGTTATCAGCCTAACACTGATCAAAGGGAAGCCTGTCTCCGCCGCTGACCTGTGAAACGTCCCAATTATACTCTTTGGAAATGACAGGGGCACTTAACTCCCGAGCTGAGCAAATGACGACAATCAATCACGTTTGAATAACAATGAGCCGCGGACCTGAAAATTATTTTTGTATAGAATCTCCCCGGAATTTATGAAAGGGAAAGCAGCCCAAGGTTCGAGGGCATGACGACTCCCGCCTCACGGTGCGCACCCAACACTAAACAGAATTTATGTGTTTTAATTTCCTAAAAGGTAGATGTGGACCGACCGGGTGCTACAATGCAGAACGCAGATGCCACATTTTAAATATGGGGGTCGTTTTCACAAAAGACTGTGCTTATCGCTCCCACCCTCGAATTTCACCGGGGACTTGTGTTAAATTTCCACTTTCTAAAACATACTCAGCTGCTGAGCTAACTAGCAGGAACACACACCTTCACTCCGCGCCCGAGTCCGGGACAGGCTGGGGCGAGGACCTCTGCAAGCGCAGGCGGCTGGGCTGTGAGAACTGCCTCTGGAGGTGCCAGCTGGGCCACCCTCAGCGCTGGGTCAGCTCACTGCAGCCGAGAGCAGCCTCCGGCAACACCACCCTCAGCTCGACAGCTCCCCCTGCCGTGTGGGGTCCCAGGGGAGCTCAACAGGCCCAGGGAGTCTGCACGGGGCTCCAGGCAACTGTGCGCCCAGGCAGGTGGGGAAGGCACTGCTGCCCTGCCCTCCGTGGCCCCTGCGTGCGTGGCCTGCCCGTGGGCCTCCCACCAAGCACCTGTTCCAAGAAGCACCGCCCCCACAGGCTGCCACTCCTCCCACGACCTTGGACCCAGCACAGCTGGCCACGAAGGCCTGCACCTGAGCTCCTGGGCCAGCCCTGCGGTTCAAGGCAGCAGCAACAACCTCCCCACGTGGTCAAAGGTCACGGATGGGGTCAGAAGCCTGCACTGAGGGGGTGGGGGAGGCGCTGGGGGCAGGGCAGAGCAGGGGCCAGGATGCCCGAGGACTCTGGGAGGAGTTCACGCCCTGAGGTGGCCTCAGCTGCAGGTGTCCCCGGAGCAGCTTCAGATCTCCACCTGACCTGGCACCTCGTCTGGGACTCGTGAAGGTCATGCCGGCCACGTGCTCAGCCCAAACAGGTGAGGGCCCGGCAGGCGGTCAGTCCTCGGCCACCGGACTCCTCCTGCGCTTTTCGAAGCTTTCAGACGCACAGCCCGCCCGCGGCCGGGGAGGCCTGGAGGAGGCCATGGCCTCGCTGGTTCTATACGAACGGATTCTTCACCCACAGTTAAAAGGATCTAGAAAAATGAGCCTCCACAATCATAATTAAACAAGCAATAAAATGGCTAAAATATACAACGCAATCAGTTTGCAGAAGTGAGGTAGCGAGGGTACTAATTACCGGAGAGGGGACGGGAAGCGCGCCTCGCGCCAGAGCAGCCCGCCCACCAGGCCGCCCGATACAGCTGGGACCATTAAATAAATTCTGTGCGATCTAATTAACTTGGTGCGCAATCTCAATTACTTTTCACCCAAGAAATCACTTCTGTTCGGTTTATGTGTGTTTCCCTTTTAAAAAAAAAATGATGTAAGGCCTCGTCAGACAAGTGAGCTCCCACCTGCATTTGTCTCTCAGCCTTGATGGCTATGCATTTAAAACCCCATTCTATCTTATAAACTAAAAATTAAACGTGCTCAGCTGTGATGGCCGTCATCCGGCGGCTATTTATATGCTAATGCCCTCCCAGAAGGCCGTGCAAATTGCCCAGCCAGGCCGCTATCTCAGCAGCATCAGAGAGCAGAGGACACGGGCAGCGCACGGACCCCACAGCCTGCGTGGCCCAGCCCTGAGCTGGGGACAGGAGCCGCCCGTCCTCGAAGGGCTGTCCCTTCCCTCTCTGGCCTGATGGCTCGCAGGAGTGAGCTGCACGCAGCCTGCGTGGGGCTGCTCCCGCGGCCAGGCCCGTTGCTGGGGGTAGGAGGGCGCTGCGCCTGGAGGTCCATCTCGGGGGTGAGGCTGGGGTCCAGCTCTGCTGGGTCTGGGCAAATGGGCAGCGGGCAGACAGGTAAGGGCGCATGCGTGAACCTCAGCGGATGGCAGCCAAGAGACAGGCGGGCGTCCACGCCAGGCTTTGGTCCAAATGGACAGCCCTCTCCTCCAGCGACCACAGGTGTGCCATGGAGGCCGCAGCTGTCAGAGTGCGCAGGGGCACAGAGCCTTCCCCCTGAGCTCCTGCACCTGACGGAGACCTCGCCTCCTGGCTGGTCCATGAGGAGTCCTGCCCTCTGGCTCGGCCTGGCCTCCCAGCGGGAGGCAGGACTCCTGCCCTGTGACACTGTGGGTGGCACCCTCCCTGGGTGGCTCAGCCTTGGGAGGAAGGCAAGGCTCACACAACTGCCCGACTCAGTCTTCCCACCTGTAAAATGGGCTATAGCATAACCCCTGGGGGAGCTGCCTTTGGCATTAGAGGAACAACATGTGAAGGTGGCTGGAGCACAGGGCTGGCAGGGCCGTTGGGAAGGCGAGCTGATGCAGGTGTTTGCAGGGGGGGTGGGGGGGAGGGGGCGCTGGGGCGGGAGAGGCCTGGCTGAGATGCTCCCCAGTCCTCAGGAGATCAGCATGCAGACCCTCCCTGCTCTCAGCCCCTCGAGGCAGCGGCTTGGCCTTCAGCATGATGGAGGGGCCACGTCACAGGAAGGTTGTTTACTGGCCCTGCCGAGTACAAGGTCCCCACGTCACTGATTTAGTTCCTCTGCCTCTCTGGGAGCCTGACACGTCCAACATTTCATTCCCTGCGTTTCCTGCTCTGTCCTTTTCACCTACAGGAGGCCAGGCCCACACAGAGCGGCCGGGCCTCACTCCACAGTGGTCCCGACCCAGGAGCCCTCACGTGGCTGAGCGGGAGGACCGCCATTAGCCCATGCAGCTGCCAGAGCCTGGCGATGGTGGGAACAGGGTCCGTGTGGGCTTTAGCCACTTACACACGTAAGCCAATGTTATTTTAAACCCCCACTGCGGGTAGTTTAAATAGACCGACACTTAAAATTATTTTTTTCTGACTTATTGGTGAGGGGAAATTACTATTTTGTTAATTACACAACACTAAGGAATTGGTGATCTTAGCTCCATAATTAAAAGTTTCCAGAGGATGTTTATCAGCGTAACGGATGCAGCCCATGATCATGCCGCTGCCGAGCTGCCGGCTGGAGACTAAATCTCCCAGGGCTGCTGCCTATCGATCGGGGCGAGATTTATCCCGGCCGTTCCCCAGCGCAGGCGGCGAGGCCTCTATAAAGCACCGTTAGACCCATTTAAACCGGCTTAAATATTTCCTAAAGACAGAACATCTACATCAAAAGGAAAACAATATGTAGGAACCAGTGGCTACGAGGACAGAAACAGGAAATCAAAAGAAAAAGGCCCCCCTCCGCCCCCCAGCGCAGCTGCGGGGGGAGAGGCCCCGCGGCCGGACCTTGGAGAGCCAGGCTCCCCTCCCGTGTCTGGGGCCCGGGTCGCTGGGACCCGGGGACCCTCTCACACAGTGACCAGCTCTCAGATGTTAAGTCACTTACTGAACCCGCACCCCGCTCAGCCAGGCCCCGGCTCAGTGGGGAGGCACCGAGGCCAGGGATTTAACCCCAGGCGCCTTACAGGAAAACCAGCAAGAACAACCGATCCGAGTGTCTAACTGCCAGCCGCAGGCGGCCGCCCGGCGCAGAACAGAACGGGAGCAGATGCACAGATACCGCGGCGTCTATTCTGGGAACGGCGCTCACCTGAGCCGCGCGCTGCCACTCAGCCGGCCAATCGCTCCATCTGCAGCCCCGGAATGAGCTGTCTCCGGGGACCGGAGCGCAGGCCTCGACATCAGCCCCCGGAGCGCCTCGTCTCTGCCTCATCTCGCCCGCTCCTTCCCTGACAGGCAGAGACGCGCCTCCCGCCTGCTCCCGCACTCAATCAGACCCTGGCCCGCACCGCCCTGCGCAGCACGCACAGCACCCGCCTCAGTTTACCCTGTTGTCAGCCCCTCGCCAGGCCAGGCCCTCCAGCCTTCAGAATGGGCGGTGGCATCTCCTCGACCAACGGCTTCCCACTCCCCAAGCCGCTCCTGCCACAAGCAGCCTGGAGCTGCCCCACAGACGACAAGGGTGGACACTGACCCTCCCACCCACACAGCATCCGCAGACGCCCGGGGCAGCACGCTGGCCCCTGCCAGTGAGAGGTGCGAGTCTCTGTGAGCTCGGAGGTGGTGGAGGTGCCGACAGGGCTTCTGCAAGCAGCTCATGAGCTCACAGCCACACCAACAGCCACCAGGCTCACTGCAGCCCTGCACCCGTCTGCTGTGAGCTTCCCTGACAGCCTCGCTTTTCTTTGAAGACAAGATCGCCCTCTGCTGGCCCCAGGGGGCTGCACACTCCACAAAGTTGAGGCCCAACTGCTCAGAAACTCACCTGGAAGTCATGAGGCCCCCACCCCAGGGACTGGGGACTCCCTGTCCCAGCCCCTCTACCTCCTCATCCTCAACTCCAGGGCCTGGTGAGGAAGGAACCGGAATGCACCAGAGCCCAGCCTCTCTGCTTAGAGGGCTGAGCTAGGGCCAGAGACTTTGCTGCCCCACCAGCCCTCACCCCACTCACCTCCCTCCTGCGAGGCCCCTCGGCCTCAATGTCCAGCTCCTGGGATCTCCGCAGGGCGGTTTCCAGCTCAGCCTTCAAGTCGATGGCGGCCTCCAAGTGCTGGCCACGTGCACCTGCGCGGGTGAACAGCTGCCAGCAAGGGCGCGTCACCCGGCAGCCTGGGCACCCTCCCCGCACTCCCCGCAGGCACGACCAGGCGTGCAGCCTCACCTGGACCCAGGTGCGCACAGCCGGCAGGAACTTGTTCTGGATGAGCTTGAGCGCGTCCCGGGCCGACTGGATGACAGCGCAGTTGTCCTCGTCCTCCTGCACCCTGAGGCTGCCTGCAGGGGAGCAGGGCCCCGGGCAGGTCACCGGCACTTCCCCCATCCCATTTCCATCACAGACCCCCTGGGACCCCAAACCTGACGCCCAAACCCGCTGCTTCATGATTTTGGCAAAGACCAAGGCAGCCTGACCTGATGCTCCTTCCCCTGGACCCAAGACCTCTACGGCTTCCCACAGACAGACAGGCCCGGCCGTCCACCGCCGCCCCCACTGCCTCAGGATGAAGGCCGGCTCCTCCCTGTGCCCAGCCAATCCAGCTGCCACCTCCCTGCCCCGGGCACAGGTGGGCAGTTCCTTGGGGCTCGCCAGGCGCTGGGTGAGGGCGTGTGTGTGAGGACGTCCTGCGGCTCCAGCAGGGCTGCCCTCCTCCCAAGAACACATCTGAAGGGCAACCCCACTCACACCCACGAGGACGGGCATTGGGGCCGATGAGGAAGCTCGGTGGAAGCCACGAGGCTGGGACACCAGGGCCCTGTGGGCTCTGAGGGCACCACCTGTATCTTTGCAGACACAGCGAGAAGCCCCTTCTCCATCTCGTTTTCCTCCCAGGCCCGGCGGCCACCCTGGGACCCCGATGGACAGGGCAGCAGCCATAGCCACCACGAGGGCACAGGGCAGACCTTGGGGCCCACAGCCTAACCCCACCCTGGGGGCCGTACCCTGCTCTCAGGGTCTCAACGAGTCTGGGCTGTCAGAAGTGCCCGAGGGCCCTGGGCTGCGGCCACGAGGGAGCTCCGAGCAGCGGCAGGAGCGGGTACCTGAGAGCTCCACGTCCAGCGTGTACTTGTGGGAGCCCAGCCCATGGCGCCGCACAAAGTCCTCCTGGTCGCTGTCCTCCTCGTCCTCTTCGTCGCCCGAGGCCCCCGTGGTGGCCACTGGGCGGCGCGCACAGGCAGGCAGGCTCTTGCTGCAGCAGGGCTGCTCCTCGTCCCCGAGGTCTGGGGCGCTGGCCAGGCGAGGCGGGCCCTCCTCGGGCGCCCCAGAGGCCACGGCAGGCGCAACGGCCCCCCGGTGCAGCCCCAAGTCGAAGGGCACCAGCAGCTGGAAGCAGCTGTCCACCTCTGTGAGGCAGCCCCGGATGTCCCCAGACATTTCTGCGAAGGTCAAGACGCTACTCGTCGATCATGTCTCAGGACAGCACCGCCCGCCAAGGGCGGGGCCCACTGTCTGAGGGAGACCCATCCAGCAGCAGGCGGGCTGCCCACAGCTCAGCCCCCCCCCCCCCCCCAGCCCAGCACCCTGGCTGCAGCCGCAGCCCCGGGGCCGTCCTCCCAAGTCCTGCTGACCCCGAGGGTCTTCTCTCAGCTGCGACAGCCACTCCTCGGCAGGTTTGTGAGGCCATGAGGACCCCCCAGCCTGAGTGCACCTGCACCCACGCCCACGCGGCTCCCCCTCCTCGGGCCCAGCGACCTGCTGTGCACCTGCCTACCCCTGGCCAGAGGCAGAGCCACCTCCCCGTGCTCACACCCTGGCTGCCGGAAAGCAAATGCTGGGGTTGGCGGGGCTGCAAGAGCACGTGAGGCCAAGAGACGAGGGGTAAAGCTCAGACACGGCCCACAGGCCACCGAAGGACGCACGTCTCGCCTCCCTGCCCGGCAGCACGGGGCGGGCGCGGTCAGCGTGACCACCGAGGGGGGCACGGCTCACAGGGCCCTCGGCTGCCCGCCTGGAGAGGTTCCTCGGGCCCAGCTGGTCTGTCCACCTGCCGCCCCTCACCCCCCGCCGGGTCGCGGAGACTCACCCTCCATCTCCCGCACGGCCTGCTCGGCCCTTTCCCGGTAGATCCTGTCTAAACGCCTCTGCTTCTCCTCCTCTCGCTTTCTCTCCGCCAGCGTCCTGGCGTCCGCGTCCTGAAAATCCACCTGAGAAATTGAGATAAAATCCAACTGAGCAGAACACAGAAAGAGCCAAAACAGGCCCCAGAGGAGCGGCACCAGCACCGCCCACACCAGGCCTCGGTGTGTCTCCAGTTCAGTGTTCAAAACACCAGGGACCCGCTGGACGGCAGGCTTAGCCCCTGGCAGAGCCAGCCGGCAGCACCTCCCAACAAAGGGAGGCAGACAGCCCGCGTCGCTCCATCAGCAGGGACGGGCGCCGCCGGCTGGGCCCCGGGCCGAGACCACCACCTGAGGACGCGGGAGAGGCGCCAAAGGGTGTGAGGGTCCGAGGGTGGGGGCTTGTCAGAGAAGGGCTCTCGCTGTCCTTCCTTCCCCTGCCCACCTGTGGGCACCGGGGCCACAGGCTCCACTCCCCTCACCCTAGGGAGCTTCCCAGCTTCCTCCCAGAGCTGCGCCTCCCACCTGCTGGCCGCTCTCCGGCCTGCTCGGCCCCCAACCCTGGCCCAGCCGCCAAGGGTCCCGGGCACGTCTGTCCACCACGGGAGGCCCACGCACCTGCTGGCTGTGTCTCAGGAAGTGGTAGCCCAAGGCAAGCTTCTTATAGGCCGCGCCAAACTTCTCGCTCCAGCCCTGGACAGCCCGGGCGGCAGCCTGCCTCAGCCTCTGGGCGGCCTCCCGGGGGGGCGGCAGGGGCTGCCGGGGGTCGGTGCCCAGTGTGAGCTCCAGGAACCCCTGGAAGTCGGAGACGACCAGCAGCCGGAACAGGTGGGAGCGGGCGAAGAGCTCCTCGGCGACCTGGAAGGCGGAGAGGCGGACCTCGGCGTGCTCCTGCCTCAGCTGGGCCGTCAGCAGGTGGTAGGCGCGGCTCAGCTGCTCCTCCGAGGACCTGGGGACCGGGCGTCCTTACCAAGCGACCGTGGGTGAGGACGGTAGTTCGCCGCCGCCGCGTGGGGAGTATCCGCCAGCGGCAGGGACACGCCCTCTCTGTCCTCGTTCTCCCCCTTGTGGGGCCGCCCCCAGCCCCTTTCTGCTTCCGTAAAACCCGAGCCGAGCCCTGGCCAGAGCGGCGTCCTGTGCACCCAAGGGCTGTGGGTTCAGTGCCCAGCTGGGGCGGGCACGGGAGGCAGCCCATGGATGCTCCTCTCTCTCCCCCTCTCCACGTTCTCATGTGAGGTTAAGCAAAAATCAACAACAAAAACCCGCAAGCCAAGAATGGTTTTTACTTTAAAGGCTGAATTAAGAGTAAAGCTCAGACGGGTGGGCGTTACAGGAAGCGGCAGCGTCCTGCGGGGAAGGGGGACGCAGGGGGACGGGCCGCCGGCCACAGCCCTGGCTTCCCCCGCTGAGCGGCTGCGCACAGGCCACCCTGCCACCTGCCCGGCGGCTGCTGATGGCGGGTCTTCTGGGCGAACAGTCTGGGCTGGAACCTTCCGGGGGGATGTAAGTTCTCATCGCGGAATAAGCACCTTCCAAGCCTCCGGCTTGTAGCACAGGGTGAGGGTGACCCAAAGCTCGGCCTCGGCGCCAGGGTCTGAGCCGGAGGGAAGGGCGGTGGACACCCGCCCATCGGGGACCCTCACCTCCCCACGGCCGGTCCCGACAGTTACCGCAGCAGATGCGTCCCCGGGACGCCCGCCACCCGCACGGGAGACCAGCCTCCGCCGCGCGCCCCCCACCCCCCACCCCGTCCCGGGCGGCCGTTTGGGGCGCTTTCCCAGCGAGGCGCCGGGGAGCCGCGGGAGGAGCCCGGCCCGCTGGACGGACCCGAGGACGTACTTGCACATCTTCTTCAGCTCCTTCATCCTCTCGGGGTCCAGCCGGGGCTCCCCCGACGTCGTGAGGTCCTCGATCAACTCCGAGAGCCTCTGATCCATCGCGGGGCGCGGGAGGCGGGGAGCGAGGGGCCGCCCAGTGCTGCCGGCTCCCGGGCCCCGGTCTCCTGCGCCCACTGCCCCCAGCGATGGCCGCCTGGGCGCCGGAGGAGCCGGGCAGGCGGCGTCCCAGGCGAGGGCAGCAGGCGCTTTGGGTGGGAACCGGGGAAAGTGCAACACGGCCGCGCGGGCTCTGGGGCGGGGCGCGCGGGGAGGACGCGAGGCCCCGTCTACGTCGCTTCCCCTGCGGGAGGCGGGGGACGGCCGCCTTTTCCCAGCAGAGAGACTCGCGCCTGGGGGCCCTGCAGGCTGGGCAGGGGCAGGTACCCCGGGAGGCGCGTCCTGGAAGGAGCGCCCGATCGAGGGCAGTGACTTCTGAGGGCGAATCAAGCCGCACTCGGGGCGCCCAGGGGACCCCGCCCCCGCCCCGCCCCGCCCCGCCCCGCCAGCCCCCAACGCGGAACTCGCACCCACGCCCGACGACGCAGCCACCACGGCACCTACCGCGCTACCGGGTCGCTAGTCTCGCCCCGCCCCTTCCGGCGAAGGGTCCGCCTCCTGTACGTGCCCAAGACCGCGCCAGTCATTGGCTCGCCCCAGCCCAGGCGGTGCGCAGAGAAGGTCAGCGAGGTGACGTCCGCATCTACCGCGCGACGCTGTCGCTCTCGCCTTAGCCCCGCCTGTTCCGGTGGAGGACCCGCCTCCTACACGTGCCCCGAGATCGCAGCCAATGGCTCGGCCTGACCCTGAAGACGGGGGCGGGGCCAAAGTCTGCGCGGTGACGTGAGCGCGCCCCCGGCAGGGGCGGGAAGGGGTTGAGCGTCCGCGGAGGGCGACGCGCGAGAAAAAGGAGGCGGGAGGGCGCAGCAAGTCTTTAAAGGGGCCGCGCGCGCCTGCACTTGCGCGTGCCGGACTGGCCGGAGGGGTGCGAGCTCGGGGTGCAAGTCGCGGCCGCCAGGAGGCTCGCGGTACTAGGGCCCTGCCCTTGCGACGGGCCGGCCGGGCCAGGCCGGATGGGAGCTGGTGCGCGTTTCTCCCAGGGGTGCCAAGGCCACCGCCCCGCGGTGCCTGGAGGATCCGGGCTGGGGCTGCCCCTGGGGCGGGGACGCGGATCGGCTCCGTGGGATCCGATGCGGAGGGGACGGGCCGGGGGCAGCGGCCTGGAGTGGAGGGTCTGCTGTCCGCAGGGAGGCGGATGGCCGAGCCCCGCCCACACCCTTCTGGGGAGCCGCCTCCGCAGGTGACCAACCTGCCCGGCCCACTGGCCTGGACCCCCGTCTCATCTTCCCCAGGACTCCCCGCGCCCTGCCCAGTGGCCTGAGCCGTGGGCACCACCACATGGTGGGCCTGGGCAGCCCACACCCCCTCCCCACCCTCATCCTGGGCGGCCGAGGGGTGTGGATGTCCCTGACTTCGTGCTGCTCCAGGTGCAGCCTGGGAGCTGGGGCCCAGGCACCCCAGCCTGGCCATCGCCTATTCCTAGGGCTCCAGGCCAGCAGCCCAGAGGCGGCCCTGGGGTCGCTCACCATGCACAGCCAGGCTCCTGCACCCTGCCCACACGCGTGCTCGGCACTGGGCCTCGGGGCTTGGCACATGCTGTGTGCCCTGCCCTTGCCCCACAGGCCAGTGGTCACCCGCCTCAGCCTTTCCTCCGAGGCCCGCTCGGCCCCCGGGTGCTTGGGTCTCGGACCTGCTCTGTGTGGTGCTTGGCGAGGCACCAGCACACACAGGTGCCCAAGCAGCAGATGGGTGCTTCTAGGACCTGGGGCGGGGAAGGTGGGGGGAGTGCTAAGGACATAGGCCACACGGGAGCGTGGACGTGCCCGTGGACAGCAGCGCTGCTCTGAGTGGCCACAGGTGGGGACACCCAAATGCGCATCCTGGTCTTAACACTTCGGCGTACGTGAGCCAGACAAGAGGCCAGACCTGTGGCTGCCCTTGCGTGGACTGTGCACAAAGGCAAGTGCACGCATGCAGACGCAGACAGGCTCCTGGGGCCGGAGGGTGGGGGGCGGCCGCCCATGGGCACCGGGTCCCTCGTGGGTGACGAAGGTGGCCTGCAGTCAGGGGCAGTGGCTGCACCACCTGGTTACGATACTGAAACACCGAGTTGTGCGTTTTGAAAGAGTGGCTTTATGGCGTGTGAATTATACCTCGATGGGGGTTATTAGGAGAAGGGGGTCGGTGCCCGTCACGCCAGCCCCCCCCACCCCCCGTGCCCATCCCAGGCCTGTGGTTCTCCAGTGGCGGCTCCGCTCTCCTGAGGAAACCCCTGTCTGTCTTCTCTGCCAGCCTGTTTGTTGCCTCTGGCTCCTCTTTTGCACCAAATTCCCAGAGAGAGCTGTTCACTGCCGAGTCTCCGCTGCACCTGCGTCCTCCGTTGCCCGTGGCGCCTGAGCGACTGCCCTCTCCCGCCCTCACCTGGGCTGCAGGTGTCCTCTCTCCACTCCCTCCAGTCGCTCCAACACCCGAGAGCCCCTCTCAGAAAGCACTCCAGGTCCCAGCCACCGTCCCCTCGGAGTCCCCACCTCTGCCCTCGTGCCCCCAGTCCACGCGCCCTGCAGCCTCCAGAGTGGCCGTTAAAGCCTGAGGCCACATCACGTGGCCCCTTCTCCCAAGCACTCGCTCCCATCCGAGAAAAATTTCGCACTGGGCACGGGGCCCCCCTGACCCCGAGGCGGGTGTTTGAAATGATGAGATGGATGAGCTTCTGGCTGGACTGATCAACAAGACAAGCAAGCAGCGGCCCAGTGCCGGGGGCGTACTACGCGTCACAGAGCTCACCCACTGCGCTCCAGCGCCCAGGAACGTGCAGAATGCCCCGCCCCGCCCCGCCCGGGGCTCTGTCAGGATCGCAAGAGCTAACCCTTCAGATCGTCAAGGCGATTCTTCACCAGAATTCGGGAGGAGAACACGGTAATTCCTGGAGGTGAAGAAAAGCAGCTTTGACGCAGGCGTGGGCTTAGAAAGGTCCAAGGACACAAGATGCACAAAACAAGTCTATGTCCACGTTACCATTCGGGAACCAATTGCAAAGTTAAACTTCACAGTCACGTCTGCGGTAGCATTAAAGACGGTGACGTACTCGGGAGAACAGCTATGTGCGGGGGAACTGTCAGGCGTGGACGATGCGAGGAAAGGTCTGAATGTGGAGGCGGCTCTGAGTTCACAGCTGGGAGGGCTTGGTGTCGTCAGGGTTTCTCAGAGCCTGAATGGACTTGGCTGTGCCCCGCGCCCAGGTGGCTGTCTTGGGAGGTGATGAAGGTGAGGTTGGGCCAGAAGGCTGCGGCCCGGGTCCCCCAGGACTGCTACCCAGCATTCTCCCTCCCTCCCAGGAAGAGGGCCTCACCAGGAACCAGCCCGCAGGCACCTTGATCTTGGACGTCTGGCCTTCAGAATTGAGAGAAATGCGTTTCTGTTCTGATGGTCACCTGCACAGACTACAGCCCCACACTGATCTATGGATTCAGCGTAATCCCAATCAAAATCTAGCTTTCCTATAGACTTTTACTAGAGGCCCGGTGGACAAAATTTGTGCACTTGGTGGGGGACGGGGGGTTCCTTAGCCCGGCCCGCGCCCTCTCACAGTCCAGGAGCCCTTGGGGGATGTCCGACTGACGGCTTAGGACCGGGCCTAAGCCGTCAGTCGGACATCCTTAGTGCTGCCGTGGGGATGGGAGAGGCTTCCGCCACCGCCACTTCGCTTGCCAGCTGTGAGCCCAGGTTCTGGCTGAGCAGCACTCCCCCTGCGGGAGCACACTGACCACCGGGGGACAGCTCCTGCATTGATCGTCTGCCCCCTGGTGGTCAGTGCGTGTCATAGCAGCTGGTCATTCTGCCACTCAGTTGGTTTGCATATTAGGCTTTTATTATATAGGCTAAGCTGATTCTAAAATTTACGCAAGGAAACTAGAAAAGCCAAAATAACTCTGAAGAAGTAGAAAATAAGTATTGCAAAAGGGACTCACATTCCCTTTCAAGACTGACTTGAGCCTGGCTGGTGTGGCTCAGTGGTTGAGTGTCGACCTATGAACCAGGAGCTCAGGATTTGATTCTTGGTCAAGGGCTGTACCTGAGTTGTAGGTTCGATCCTGGCCATTGGAGCATGTGCAGGAGGCAACCAATCAATGTATCTCTCTCATCAATATTTCTCTTTCTCTCCCTCTTCCCTCACTTCTACTCTAAAAATCAATGGAAAAAAATATCCTTGGGTGAGGATTTAAAATAAAATCTTACAACTAAAGATTCCTGAGGAGCTGCTGCAGGGGGAGCCCTTGCTGCTGGCGGGGGCCCAGCGTGTGTGCCTGGTTCACCCCGAGGTCAAGGGGGGACCCGGGAGCCAAACCGGTTTGGCTCAGTGGATAGAGCATCGGCCTGCGGACTGAAAGGTCCCAGGTTCGATTCCGGTCAAGGGCATGTACCTTGGTTGCAGGCACATCCCCAGTGGGGGGTGTGCAGGAGGCAGCTGGTCGATGTTTCTCTCTCATCGATATTTCTAACTCTCCCTCTCCCTTCCTCTCTGTAAAAAATCAATAAAATATATATTTAAAAAAAAAAAAGGGGGGGGGGGCCCCGGGCCAAGTGGCAGAGGCAGAGGCGAAGGCGCTGGTGCACACGCTGGACAACTGGTCGGTGGTGGAGACGATGGTGCCGACCAAGACGCCCAACATGAAGCTGATCTCTTCGGCACAGGCGCTTGGAGCAGCTGACGGAGAAAATTAGAAGGCTGTTGGGAGCAACAGCTGTCGTTCTGAATGTGGAGAGGACGTCTGTGCCCCCCAAGAAAGAACTGGAGGCCACCTGGTGGTGCAGGTGTTCGACCAATACACCGTGGTCCTGCACAGCTTCACTGCAGTGCCCGGACCAAGGAGGCAGAGCTGCAGGTGGCCCTGGCCGAGCTCCCCCTCCTCAGGTCCGACATGAAGAACAACCTTGCCCACCTGGACGGACATGGAGGCAACTCGCTACATCACGGGGTCAGGAGAACCTTTCGTGCAGGTGCGGCAGCGTCTGATGAAAGAAAAGGAGATGCAAATCCGCAAGGCCCTGGAGACTCCGGCAGCAGAGGCAGCTGCTGGGCAGGCAGCACAGGCAGCGGGAGTTCCTGGTGGGGTAACACCAGCTGTGGGAAGACCACGCTGATCAAGGCTCTGACGGGTGACAGCGCCATGCAGCCCCGGGACCAACCGTTTGAAGCCTTACATCCCGGCGCACGTGGGCTCCCTGCCGTCCCGCATGACCGTCATCTACACGGACCATTGGCTTCCTGTCCCAGCTGCCCCGCAGCCTCATCCAGTCCTTGGCCACCCTGCAGGACGTGGCCCACTCAGACGTGATCCTGCACGTGAGGGACGTGAGCCACCCCAAGGCGGAGCTGCAGAAGGCCAGCGTGCTCACTGCCCTGCGCGGCCTGGGCCACCTGCACCGATGCAGGACTCGGTGCTGG